GGCAGAGCCGGGGAGTGAAGAGACTCACACTGATTAGAAAAGAGTTTCTAAATTAACAAGCCGAGTGTGTGTGTGGATGTGGGCTGGTTTCCGTGGCGACAGGACAGTAGTGAGGACATTGATATGCAGAGCGGCAGCAGCAGCTCTGCTCAGGGAAAATCCTCTTCTCAGAGAGGATTCCTTTAAATGTACGCCGTCTGAAACAGCCCCGGCACAAAGGACCTCAATAAGTTCCACAAAACCTTTTCTGAACGTGAAACCAAGTGTTCCCAGTAAAGCTCAGCACCCTTTAAAGTCTGCAGAGGGAACGTTAGTCCCACATTCATGAAGAGTCTGAAAGATATGATGGAAACCAGCTGGACGATGAGCCACTGATGTTAGCAGGAATCATTCAACTTTGTGGTTCCGACAAACGTCTGGTGATTCAAACTTGGTAACCGTCTGGACTTTTCTCCCATCTCATCTGAATCCACTGAGGTTCATGTTTCAGCATAAAGTCCTGCAGCTCTGTGGAACCAGAACATGAAGCAGGAGACAGAACTCAGAACCATGGAGACCAGAATAACAGGAAAAGTTTCATTTCTTTAAATGTTTGTCTTACAAAAACTGAAAAATCCTGAAATCAACAACCAACATTGTTCCAAGAGTCCACAGGTGATACCAGCACCGGAGAGAAGGATTTGTGATCAAATATCACAATTTCAGGCTTGATTTCTGTAAGTTTCTGCCTACATGTCCTTCATGAGGAGTTCAGCTAACTTCAAACCGTCTCAAAGTCTTCTTAAAAACATCAGCAGACGGTTCCTCCTGCAGGAACTCGGTGTGAAGCATCAGTGTTTCCAGGATCTCCCTCCTTATCGGCCCTTTAAGGATTTCTGATGAACAAACAGTAGTTCCTGGACGTAGCTCCAGTTTTGTGTTGAGTGTCGCTGCACCAAGACGCCTCTTTTCTGGGGATTGTAGCCAAACTTAAATCAGTTTTGCTTCGTAGAGTCAACCAACTCTGACCTTCTTGATCTCACATCGAGCTGTTGGTGGATCCGTCTGAACCACTGGGTCAGGACTGTGTACGAACACCAGGTTGGTCCATGAGCAGATCTTCACTCAGTTTAACAAACATTTCACTGGAAATAGAATAACTGATTTTACCTTTGACTGTTTGGATGCCAACAGAGACGCAGTGATCTGAAGGTCCTCAGAGAGAATCCGATGCATTAAGAAGGTGTAAAGAAGCTTCTTAAAATGTGGATGTTTCAGAGAAACCTTTAGTCCCACAGGATGCAAACACAGACGACACCAACGTTAGAAGTTGGAACATGCAAATGAACCGAAGCCAACGTGGGAACAATCACATTATTTGTTTATTTGTTGGATGAAAAATGATCTGATGAACGATACAAGTGGTTCTTGTCTGAACGGTCACTGAACAACAAGCCTACTACATCCAGTCGTGTGCTAGCCTCGGGCTAACGCTGCTAACGTCTGTGAAGTGTGAGCTACTTTACAAAACTGTGTTTTTCAGCTTCAACTGGTCACTTTTTCAAAAACATCAAGCTTGACCATGTAATTTGCATAAAGTGAATCAGAATGCAGTTAAGCTTGTAGCTTAGCTGCTGTTGTTCCATCTGCTCACATCAAACCCATTTCACTGGCATGCAGCTGCTGTTCACACTCAGACATGATGAACCCACAGATAACTCATTGTTTTATCTTTTCTTGTACACCAAAGACGAAGTTAGTTTGGTTTCTCCTATGAAGTCGAGGTCGGAGATGTCTAACAGGGTAGATCAGTCACCTCAACAAAATAGCCAGAGCAGTCTTATTTGTCTTTCCAGTTATTGATCAGTGGCACAAAGACATAATTAAATCTCTGTTTTTGAAGTGTATTATTTTGTCTTGGACTTACGTACAAAACGTCCCCTCAAGAAGTTTTTGACACGTTCCAATGTTTAATCTGCTTCAGTAGAAGATGCTCATCCAGGTTTTGGTCGGGGTTTAGAAACCACAAGCACAGATTCAGCTTCCTGACTTTACCGCCTGGACAGTGAGTAGCTCATGTTAGCCTGCGGTGCATCTTGATCTTTAATCTTGTTCATGTTCCATCTAAATCACGGGACAAACTTGTGAGGGTAGAATCATGATCTGGACCCTGCCATCTCGCTAATCTCTTTCATTCTCAACATTCTGACCAGAAGTGATGATTCAGGTCGACTCACCAACTTGTTCGTCCCAGCTGAAGGTCCCAGCTGAAGCGGTTCTCGATGTCATTCATTGTCTTAATGAATCCCCCAGTGGTACATCAACCAGTTCGTTACCTTCTGCAGGGTCTGGTTGACAAAGACCTTCAGAGACCAGAACCAGGACTACTGCCACCAGCTGCAGTCCAAGACCACTGAGATGGAGTCTGAATGACACCAAGAACTGCCACAACAGCAACCAAACTATCCTCAATAACGCGATCTGCACGAATCCTCTGAAACAAACATCATCTGCCAAATTATTATCGCCCCCTGCAGTTGTCAGGATGAAATTTCATGTTTGCCACCTGGTGTGCCTGGTTAGAAGGTCTGTGCACACCAATCTGTTCGTCCTGGAGAATCTCTTAGATCATGAGCCAACACATTATGACCACTGACCAAAACAACTGAGACCTGCCCAGATCTGGACTCTCTCAGTCCGGCTTCGGTTCCTGTGGTATCAGACACCAACGCAGAACATCCTTGATGTTCCTAGACAACTGTAGGTAGATCCTCTGCTAACCAGGAGCTGCCTTCAAGGTTTCCAGGAGTCTCCTACCCAACAGTCTGGTGATTCGGTCTTTGACTAAATGTTTCACATCTGACATGTTGGCACCAAAAACCAACGGTTTACTTGCCGTCTAGTACATCCAGACCCTAACATGTGTCGTTGCTAGCGGATGATGTACCGTAGTCACCTCAACTGGTACCAGTCATAATGTCTTGGCTCATGGCATATCCGGTAAATTTGGTTGTTTGGACTTTAGTATAAAGTGACTGCTAAGTTCAGCGTGATGATTCTGTGGTAAAAATTTGACCTCTTTTGGTGAAAACTCACAGCTGCAGAAAGTCGATGCAGGAAGCAGCAGTTAGAGTGTTCTCGGTGTGGAAGGAGGTTAGTTCTACTGGATCCGACTCTGGCTGAGGAGACAATAAGGCACAGTCGGCTCTGACTCGTGTTGTAATAGCAGGAATTCAACAGTGACACTGAACATTACAAAGGCATTGCTGTGACATAAAAAAACAGACTACCTGGTTTCCCTTCATACAAAGATGTAATTAGTCATACATCTAGCATTACAAAAGCTACGTTCATATCTTCAGTTTCTTCAGTTGTTCTAGTTGATTGACAGTCTGAGTGTGTTAAAGACGTATTAATATTCTTGAGACTACACAATTTAAACGTCCTGTACAAAGAGACTCTCAGTGCTGAGAGGGTCCGAGTCCTGGTATCCTCCCTTCACTGCTTCATCACCTTCCTGATCTTTAGAAACATGGTTTTAGGATGGATTAGTAGCTTCATTAAGCACCACATCCCTCACAGAACCATAGAAACCTTCGACAACGCCCCGATTATCCTCCGTACGGGTGCACACATTCATGTTTCAGCTGCTCAGCACAACCAAAGTCACTGCTGGTCAAACATGGCTGGACGGCGAAGCTGCATCGGAGGCAGAAATGAACTCAGTTAAGTCCTCTGTTCACGCTAATTATCCACTGATTGTTTTGTCATAGACGTTATGTTTTAGTTTAACGAGCAAGATGGCAGATTCTTTAAGCGTTTAGCACCTTGTTGCCGGAGCTGACTTGGACAACAGGAACATGTACGAGGAATGAGGTGTCGAATGAGTGCTTCCTGTTTCTTCCTTGTTAAATTAGCATTTTCCTATGAATGAGATTACCATTAATCTGATTCAGGTTCTAGTATGTTCTGGTGAGATCAATTTTTTTTATTTCCTAACGTACTTATTTTTGGTGGAGATGTTCAGAGCGGCTCTGAATCTGATCCAAGACCTGAACCAGTGCTGCTCCAGTAAAGACGGTTTCTCTGTGTTCATAGTTCGTCTACGAAGAAACCGTCTTTAATGAAACACTGCAGATAAACAGAACGCTCTCCAATAACGAGTCCTCAGCATGTCAGAGCTGCCACAGCCACTTGGAGCTTCAGGTGTCTGTTCCTAAACTTCAGACCGTGTTAATTTAACATGTAGAGGAAGACCTGAGTGGATTCAGTTTGACTGAACCATAGATCGTCCTGCAGGGACCGTGAACATCCCGACCCGGTTTCATGGAAGTTATTTCTGCCTCAGCAGCAACATTCGCTTCGCAAAACGTTTGTTTAGTCAAGAAATAGATCAATCCAGGGCTGAGCTGTCGTAACATTCAAACGTATCAGTTCCAGCAAATTGTAATATAAAGACAAATCGAATGAACTGACTTGTTCCATGTTTCGAACACAGGAGTTTGCCCGTCGGTCAGCCCTGCATCAAGCCTACTTCTTACTCAAGTAGCATCCAGTCACAGCAGCAAACCATCCTCCACCAAGCTAGTCTTGCATTTAAACGGTTTCCCTAAGTTCACTTAATTTACGTTTCCATAGAACACATAAAAACATTGAGCTTCACAGCTTCGATCTACGGAAGAAAGAGGACGTCCAGGGTTTTCCATCTACGTTGCATCCGGAGCAGGAGGTTTGGGAGAAGAGTCCGTTCGCAGAGTCCTGAAGCAGCCTCCTGCGTTCACAGCCGGATGTGCAAGAACAGCAACCTTCTAACCTCGCTACAGATTAAACACGACGTCCTGCACAGACGGACTGAAACACTGAGTCCACAGAGCGTCGCACGAACAGAAGTCTGGCAGAGGACAGAAGGACAGAAAGACGACCGCTGGTCCACCGAGTGTTCGGGAAGAAAAGGGGGATGGACGGAGAGAACATGTGGGAGGAGGAGGAGATGCTAATGTTGGACGAGCAGAACAGAAACTGAGGTTAATGAGAACTAAGAGAAGAAGAGATGATTCATGGCTCTAGCTGGAGATGGACAAGATGGCCGACGTGTCTTTAGCCTTGTCGAAGAAGATGGACGTCTCATTGGCTGCCTTCAGTTTGACCTGGGCGGAGCCTGGCGAGCCCTGAGCCGCGGTTGGCTGACACTCCTGGCAGCAGCAGCAGCAGCAGTCCATGAAGGCCTGACCGAGAGCCTGAAACAGACGGACAGAGAGGGAGTCCAAACTCACAGAGGAACGTCTACAGAACCGTCTATCAGGTACCTACGATGCAGCCTGAGGCCTCCCTGAAGCAGCTTCACCCTCGTTAATAGACACAATGCAGCGTGGACTTGATCTTTTAACTTGTAGTCCCATTTAGAGGGAACTAGACGGCAAATCAGGAGAAGTTTGAGGGTTTCGTGTCCTCGAGTTCCTTGTCAGATCCACCTGCATTCACACATCTGGTTCTAAAGACCAAGATGGCCACCTGACGAACTCAAGGCCTCAAGATGGAAACCAACAAACGTCTCTTATATAAAGTCTTTGGCAGCGACTCAGATTTACAGAAATACTTTTGACTGATTCTTACTGTGTTTGATTCATAAATCTGGTTTCTTCCAAATGGCACCAACATCAGGTGAGGTTACTGAATGTTCTGATTAAGTCTGTCTGGTCTAAATGATCTGAGTTGGATCAAAGCTTTGTCTCATGTGGCAGCTGGATTCTTACGAGACCTCGAGCTGAGCGTTTCAGACCCACCAGCCTCCTACGAGGACCTGTTGGTGTTTTGGTGTGAGCTCACCGGTGATGGATGGAGGCTTTATTCCCACCTGCTAAGTGCTTTTTGGACGTGTTTGTCTTTTTCTAAGCTGATTCTGAAGACAGCTTGTCTGTGTCACAGTGACAGTCCTGCACCGGCATGACGTGGATGTGATCCTTTAAGGTGAACATGGAGCAGCGTTTAGCTTGATGCTATCATTAAGACGCTTTCCTCTGAATCCACAGTCTGGACATGACTCAAGCCTCTGATACTTTCTAAGGAGATACCAACAACTCAAACCCCTCTGACACCCTGCTGGACAATAAACGGGTTGTTTGTTCTGACCCACCTTACACAGACACAGCAGCAGCACCGGCGTCACCGACGACTTGAAGAACAGCAGGAAGTGATGCAACAGCGTCAGCATGGCGGCCGTGTCCTCAGAGATGGCGATGTGCGTGTAGGCCAGCGTGATGTTGCACACGTGTTCGGGAAGCGCGCACACGCCGTACACCACGGCCAGCGCCAGCAGCGTGCAGTTCAGCTGCCGCTCCACCGCCTGGTGCTGCTGCCGCTTCTGATTGGACGAGCGGTCGTCGTGGCCGCGCTGCTTCTTCTGGGCGGAGCTGGAGTCGCTGTTGACGTTGCGAGTGGCCATCTGGCAGAGGATGGTGAAGAGGACGGGGAGGCAGAAGTAGCAGCCGAAGCACCACCACATCCGACCCTGCAGCAGAAACAGAACGTTAGCGGAGCCGAAGGAACCGGGCCGTCGGTTCTTCATGATCTGGTACGCTCATCAAACACTGGAGGAACTGAAGAACCACAGACTTTATAAACTATAGGAAAATGTCTGGTTGTGTTTCTTACCTGCAGATTTTTGCATTTGATTGTAAACATTCAGTTTTAAATGATTCACTTCAGACAGACTTCATGTGAGACAAACTGTAAATGTTACGTTCAGGTTTGGGCCAAAGCAGAAATTATACATTTTAGTCGTGTTTGGCTCAGTGTTCACGTTTTTAACAACAAACCAGAAGCTGACTGGACGGCTCTTACTGAATGGCCAATAGGAACGGTCGGTCACTGGAGAGAGGGGAGTGGATGAAGTAGGGAGGCAACAGTCAGCAGCGTTATCGGTAAAGTACTGATTATTCTTCAATGTGTTTCAGGTTGAACGGACATGTTTCTATATAGTGATTAATCCGGTCCAGCTCCTGGTACAAGGCCTTAAAAGAATTCACTGAACCTTCAGACTGTGAGCTCTGCTTGGAGGTCCTGAACCTCCTCAGAGTCTCTGTCATGGTCCCGTTGCTGCTAAACTCCCACAATGCTCTCTGTTGCCACCATGAGCTGTAGTCTTTAGACGCCTCCTCTGGTCTCTACAGGACTAAACAGGGAGAAGCTCCACCTGGTGGAACAACCAGGTACTGCAGCTGGTCTATGGTCTGTTTACCGACATGCATGTTCTTCTTCTTCTATACTTGTAATGTGTTAACTTATTTATGATAACTAGCTGAATAATTCCAGGTCTATGTGGCTCTAATGAAGCTATGGACGCTGTGCTGGTCGGTTCAGGCTGTCGGTGTCGGTGGCGTCTCACCTGGTGGTACCTGAGCAGCAGCGAGTGCAGGGAGTCGGGCAGGTAGAGGGACAGAGGCGAGGACGGTGTGATGGTGCAGGAGTCGACCAGCCGGCCGGTGGACGGCGACAATGACTGGCTGAGCTGCCACAGGAAGATTTCAGGGCTGGACAGCAGCAGGGCGGCGAGCCAAACCAGCAGCAGCTTCAGCAGCACCGAGCGGCAGCGTTCGACCCGCCGGGCCTTCGGCTGCGACGAGGAGGTGGCGGCGTGGAAGCGATCGATACCCAGAGCGCACAGCGTGAAGGAGGTGACGCCCAGAGACACGACCTGAGAGGATGACATCAGTCAGTGAGTTATGGAAGACGAATGAAAAGACGTCGTTTCTGGAGCCGTAGTGTCTCCAGATGGACCGGTTGGTCCAATGTTCACTCAACCACATCCTCACTGGTCGGACAATCTGTGGTGCAACTTTAAAGTGTAAAAAGATGTGACATCGACTGCCAGCTTCTATTTTCAATAAATATTTTACCTCTCAGACATCTTTCAAGAGAATTTAGTGTTTAGCAGACGACATCCGATTCTATTTCACCCCACTGAGATTTCCTTTTAAACTGCTGCTGAGAACATCCTGTTGTAGTTTTACTATCAAAGCCACAAACTGAACTTTCCAACTGTTGCCGATGTTACCAAGTCAAAAATCACAAAAAGCGTGACTTCTTACGAGGACTGTCGAGTCCACAAGCAACAACAAACTGATTGTGTTACTGCAAGTAGGAGGAGAGTTTCAGGATTAATCCGTTGTTTGTGGCCCGTTGAGGAACAGGCTACCTGTGAACACCACCAGGTTTGGACAACTTGGTCCAGTCTAAAGTTTACCTCCTTTCATTTGTAATCCTGGCTTTAGGGGGCGATACAAGTTTCTTTGGTGACATAAAATCAGTGGTGCTTCAATCCAAAGATGATCATAGTAGAAGTACAGCATATCTCTGACATCTGAATCAGATGTTTTAGTCGGTTTGTCTTTACAGTGAAGCAGGACTCACTAGACCTCCTCAGGCTTTGATTCTTTTCTTCTTCTGCAGTGTTCCTTACACGACGTCACACTTCCTGCCAACGTCTTCCCTCAACTAACATCAATTGTTGTGGATTTATGTAAAAAAGAGAAATGCTCTTTAGATGTACGTAGATTAAATCATCCTCAGAAAGCAGTAACGTGGATCTCAGCTTTATTTAAACAGACATGTTTCTTAATCATCATGTTTGTTTAATCAACAGATATACGAGTTTAACTCTGACGACCAAAAAGACCAAAGTCTCATCCAGGTATCTGAGAATCTCAGGTTTATGTCATTATTTATCTTATTGTGATCTAAACTGGACTTTATAGTGAAAACGCCCTCTAGTGGCTACAGTTATTGCAGCAGGAGGAGGTCGTGTTGTAGGAGGAGTCAGAGCAGGGAGGAGGTCAGGGCGGATGGACGGGTCAGAAAAACTGTTTCTAGTTCTGTTTCTTTTAAACTTCACCACAACATCATCACTGTAGTCATGACAACAGAGGTCGTTATTTATACCAAACATCGGTCTTTCTGTAAACCTGCACAAGTTTGTGCTAAGACGCTCCCATTAATCATATTTAGAGGAAGCGTCCACCGTTACGGATGTCTGGGTTGGTTCGTCTTTGGATGCAACATCTGAGAGCCTGAACAGCGAAACTTCACGTCAACCAAAATGTCTAAACAAAGCCTGACTGGAATTCACAGAAACATCTTGTGACTAATGGATGTACTTTTAACAGCAGGTTCTTTAATCACCAGCATGAAGTCCTACGTTTTATTAGCATCTATCTAACTTCTGTTTAACTCCTGGGATCTTCTGCGTTTACTGGCTGAAAGGTTAGATGTCTGTGGCTCTTACTGATTTCTGTTTTTCAGATATTATGCAGGAACTGCAGACTTCAGCTGGCAATCAGACATAAAGTTGATCGTCTGGAACAATGAGCGTAACTCCTGATTCATGAGAAGTTAAGTTCAAGGAAGTTTGGAGAAAAACAGTCTATCACTTCTGTATTTCTGACCCTTTCCTCTGAAGTCTTTTATATCTGCAGCTTTAGAAAATGTTCTTGGATGCTCCTTAAGTTTTTCTTTCATATTCTCCACCAGACTTCCAGCTGCTGGAGCTTCTTTATCTCCATCGCTATGTTCAGTCTTCAGCTCCTTCAACCAGTCATTGGTTTAAAGCTCCTGGAGCTGATTGGCTGGATCTAAACAGACTTGAATGTAGCAGACATTCATTTAAAACTCACAAACAAACCTTCACATTTTCTGAAAGTCAGACTTTTTATCCCTCATCCCTGTATTCATCAGTTCATCTCTCTGTTGCTAAAAGCAGCAAATATCGAGCACATTAGCTTGAAAAATGATTAAAACCATCAGTGATAAAAACTGAATTATTTGTCTTTGGCTGGAAGTTTAGTTGGTGAACTAGAAGTCCTGTTTTGTAGCTTCAGGCCAGTAATCGATCTGGAAGGTTTGACCTGTAAGTAACATAGAGAACAATAGAGGACCGAGGACGGAGCCTTGAGGAACTCTTGTGTCTGTATGTCCATGAAGTGTTTAGCCTAGCTTAGCACGATGGCTGGCAGCAGAGGGAAACTGTTAGCTGAGAATAAACCCACCAATCCGCTCCTTCAGAGTCTGGATTACAAGAAGACTCGTCATGTCTGCTCTCCGGGGCTGTAGCTAACCTTTTCTACCGATGTTGATTAGCTTCCAGTTAAATTGATCAGAAGATGGTGAAAACGTGGATCAGAGTTTCCTCAAACCTCTCGTTTAGTCCAAAGACGTTCAGTTTAGTGTCACAGAGGAAAGAACCCAGAAAACATTCACTGAAGGAGCTGAAATCACAGAATTTAATTGATTATTAAAACAGATGATGAATAATTATAGTTAATTAAACTATTAATAGATTATCATTCGTCCAAGTTTGTTCTTGTCAATGATCCAGCTGACGAGTTCATGGAACGAACTGAGTTGATCACAAGCTACGAACACGAACAAACTACAGGATTTAATTAAGAACGACCAGAGTTACTGATGAACAGGAGAGTTGTAACGAGTTCCCAGAGTTAATGATGTCCAGCTGGAGTCCATAACGAACAAGCTGAGAGAGATAATGGACTCAGTAGTGACTCTGAACGATGACCATCATGTCTGTGGTCTAACGTTTCCAGTAGACTTATGTCGGTTCAATAGATTTAGAACAACGTTTTAGTGTTTTTTTTAACATCATCATTCAAATAAATAGTCACCAGACGAACACGAAAGACTCGGGCGATGTTTAGTCTTTGTAGCGGCTGTAGGAGCTCAGACTCAGTCTTGTTCGGTTTTTATCCTTTAGTTGTGTCTTCACTGTATATTTAAATTCACTCTATTTTATCTGATGCATCGTTTGTGGTTTTAATCTGAAGGATACTGTTTTAATTTTGAAATCAGATTTTTCTGAATTTAGTTTCCTTTAGAGGTGTTCTAGTGTCTCTGTTTATGGGAACTCTGGGGTCCATCAGAACCAGTTTGGTTCTTCTGAAGGTTAATGACTCAACGGTGATAAAATGTTTGAAGTTCCCATCAAACATCTGGGTTACTACAAACTCTGTCTGCTGCATCAAACAGTTTCCTGCTCAGGTGTTCAATCTGCTGCCATCTTTGTTTGGGTTTGGAAACAGCAGCAACGTGGGAGGGTTCTGAAACAGAACCTTCAGAACAGCGGTGAGTATTTTTAAATCCTAAAACATTCGTGGTTAATTAACATTTGATGTTTGAAACTTCAGGAACCTGTTCCAGGACCTCATCTGGTGGAACGTCTCTGTAGAACCTCTTTAGGGCTGATTTGGTGGAGAACAAGGTGTTGATTGGTTAACGTGACAAACCTTCGCTGTTCTCCTACATCCTGACTCAGGTTTCCTTTAGCGCCACCTTCAGGACCAAACATCTTTAAGTCTTAAATGGACAAAGCAAAATTTTCACACAATCTCAATCTCACTTCCTCCTATCCAAAAATTAGCCCCACCCACCTCCATATAAGGCACCATGCGGCAGGTGATGTCACCCAGGATCCTCCTATGGGAGAGCTGGTTGAGGACCACCACAGGGAGGCACAGCACCAGCACCAGGAAGTCCCAGAAGGCCATGCTGGCCAGTAGGTAGTTCCAGGCCGACCTCATGTAGTAGTTGTTCCAGACGACGCACATGACGGCCATGTTTCCGACCACGCCCACCGCCAGCACCAGGCCGGCCAGGAACAGCACCGCGTAGGCCGCGTACGAGCTCTCGACCAGCGGGTAGAACGGGTTGAAGAGTCCCGGAGCCTCGTGGTCGGAGGCGTTGCCGCGGACGTCGTCTTCGCTGCTTCCGGCCGCCACTTTCGTTCCGTTGCTGAACTCGGTGACCTGCGGCGCCGTGACCCAGTCGTTCTCGAAGGAGTGGCTGAAGGTGGACTGTTGCTCCTCCTCGTCGGCGCCGCGGGTCAGCCGGCGGTGGCGTTCCACGTCCAGGTCCAGCATCTCAGGGACGGGGAGGCTCTGCTCGGTCCTGACCTGCTTGCTGCTCCAGAGCGGCTCCAGTTTGACCCGAGACGACGGCTTATCGGCGCTGCTGAGCTGCCCGTCGGGTTTCTCCACACTCTTGGCATCAGTGGACAGCAGCAGGTGCAGAAACAGCCACAAACCGAACGACAACGCCATGATGCAGGACTCGATCAGAAAGGTTCACACAGGACCGGCTGCTGCTGCACGGGTCGGTAAATAATTTAGTAAAACTCCGGCAGCGATCCTGAAAGGTCCCAGCTCTCTGAACAAATGATCTGGTGGATGTTGGCCAAGATCCCGACGCCTTTCAGTGGAATCTGTCCAGTTAAACCAGCAGCTCCAGTAAAAAGCTTAAAGTTACCTGAATGGTCGCAGAAGTTTGCAAGAAAATCAGCCAAAGTTTGGGAAAGTTCCCAGAAGATGACGAAGTGATGATGAGGACGTCCAGCCGATGAGCTCTGTGGTCCAGACAAGATAAAGTTCCTTCTGTTTGTCCTTCTTCTCTTCAGACTCCGACACTCCAAGTTTCCCTCTTCAGATCTGGCCTCTGTGTCTCCCGTCCATTAGTAATCCAGACAGGTGTCGAGCTCCAGAGGAGGACCAGAGGAGGGAGCAGGGCGAGGCTCCGTGTCCGTGTCGGGGCTGCTGCGTCTGGGCTGCGGGCGGCAGAGCGACTGGGCGTCCTGGAGGGTCTCTGGGAACCAGCAGCCCTCTGCTGCACGGCTGGATGGAGCTTTTGTCAGGACGCACAAGAACACAAACAAGGCTGCAGCACACACACACACACACACACACACACACACACACACACACACACTCTTTTGCTCTGTTGATTCTCATACATCTGAACTCAGTGCTGCTGCTGCTGCCACCTGCTGGAGGTTTATACTCACGGAAACAGAAACTGATTCATTCTGTTACTGTTCAGTTTTATTCCACCAAAATACTTCCGTCAGTCCAAATACTTCAGGTTTTTCAGGTTTATTTTACCCAAATCATCGTACTTTGTCTCAGTGCTGAGAGTTTTATGGATGTCTTCCATCCAAACAGTGCTTTTAAACTAACAGGATGCAGTTTCTGGTCAATTTTCAACGTTTGTTCCACGCAGACGTTAAAACTCACAAGTTATGGGTTTAAAGGTTTGTTCCAACCAAAATCCTCGCTTCTGTCTGATTCCTTTTTAAAGTTCTGTTCTGCTGGTCTGGTGGTGCGTCTGTACTGCTGCAGTTCGGCTTTCTGCCACCAGAGGTCAGTGTTGCTCTACATCAGAAACTCTGATGAACTGAGCTCCGGTTCTAATCATCAGAAGCTGTTGGAGTCTGAAAACAGCTCCAGATGCACCTCTAGCTGATCCAGGTCACAAAGAGACTCTAACTGAGCGCCGACCGACAGCAGCAGGAACACTTCTGGTTTCAGGTTCTCCTCTGATAGCAGCAGGTTAGTAAAAATCTCCTGAACCTGAACCTCGGAGGTCTTCACTGACATCCAGGTGGCGCCAGAGTCTTCATTTCAGCTGCTCAGATATTTAACTTTGAACCACTGCAGCATAAAGTCCTGCAGCTCTGAGGAACCAGAACATGAAAGAGGAGAGAGAACTCAGAGACGTCTTCTGTCAGCAGGACTCAGAACCATGGAGACCAGAGAGACGGTTCATTTCTTTAAATGATTTATTTCACATAAATATAAAACCAGGAACCATCACGTGTCCTCAGATGTTCAACCCTGGAGCTGCTGGAGTCTCCTGCAGATGTTGAACAATCTCCATGTCTCCTCTCTGCTCTGCTCATCAGCCGTAGAAAGATGTTCCACCATCAGTAGAAAGATGTTCCACCATCAG